GTTCAAAGAATTGGGAGTGATAGCCATGAGAAGAGAAGAGGTAAATATTAATTAGAAATAGAGAGCATAGGTTTCATCGAAAGATGGCGAAGAGAATGAAGAAGAAGAAAAAGAAGATCACAACAGAAACTTGTGAGTTCGCTTTCAGTAACACAGTCACACACACGACTATTCTCTCTCTCTCTCTCATCCAGTGAGTCCACTACGTACGGTGTGAACACATCCCACCATCTCTAACTCCTTTTCAATACTTATTACTCTAACTAACCCCACCGCCTCACTCTTTTACAAACTCTACGCCTTTCTTTTTGCTAACAAAGTAACAAGCCTAATTACATATACTCTTGAGTTTTGTAATTAAGATCCACATTACAATATAAAAAATATTTTTAAGAAGTAACATAATATTACTTTCTCTTTTCTTTACCTTTCTTTGATTTATATATTATTTTATTTAATTTTATAATACGTTATCGGCATCAAGCTTTCGAATATGATTCTTTCGCTTCCATCTCAAATTAATCTTGTACCATCATTTGTTTAGAACCATGGAAGTAAGAAAAAAATAGTTGAATATGTGATATAAAAGTTGCTAAAAAATTCTCATTTCAGAAGAATTACACAAATAATTTTAACACATTCCGAAAGGATATGATTATAATTTTTAGATGATTGTTATTAACAAATCATTTCTATAGTTCCTAAAGAACTTATAAAGCATAGCATTTCAAAAAAGATAGCTTGAAAGTTTTTGTTTCTCATAAAAAATGATGTTAAGAATTTTTATTTTTTTTAAAATAAAGACTCTAGATTATTATACCGGAATTTATTAATTTTTATATTTAATTATGTCAAAAAATTGAAATTTGTTTGAAATATTATTATTTCATATTTTTGATCGAGTTAGTAATTTAAATTTTGGATTATATAACAATTAAAAAGTGCAAGGTGTATTTTGTCACTAATTTGGTATTTTTTTTAAGCAGATAATTTTAAGACTAATTTAATAATCCAGTTTATTTTGTTATTTTAAATATTAAAATTTACAAAAGTGTTATTATTTAATATTTTCTTTTGTGATAATTATCTCATTATAATATTTAATACTTAATATTTTATCTAATTTTTATTTTTTATGATAGAATTAAGCCTGTCAAATCTTACGAAATTGGATTTTGGACATCTTGATATTTCGAGAAAAAACTATTTAACATAGGCTCTAGACGCGAAAATTCATTTAAACGCAGAAGGTCACGACGACACTATTAAAGAAGAAAATAAATCGTCTGGTCAACAAAAGGAAAAAGACATGATATCCCTTCGTCGTCACCTTCATGGGGATCTTAAAAGTGAATATCTTACCGTAACTAATTTTAAAAGTGTAAGTGATTATAATTCTGCAATGTTTAGAATAACTTTTAAGCTGACATTATTTAGAGAAAAAGTAACTGATGAAGATACTTTAGAAAAAATATTTTCTACTTTTCATGCATCCAATGTGCTCTTGCAAGCAGCAATTTCGAGAAAAGGGATTTAATAAATATTCTGACCTAATATCTTGTCTTCCTGTGCCTCAACAAAATAATGAACTATTGATGAAAAATCATAAGGCTCGTCCCACTAGTGCAACTTCATTCCCAAAAGTGAACGTGGCAAGGCATGCACATGTGATCGTGGTCGTAAATATGCTCATGGTTCTGGTTTTGATTGTGGTCGCAATGGTAATCATAAGAACACATATTTTCACCAGAAGTGAAAAATTGTTTTAAAAAATGAAAAAGATGGTCAGAGTAGCAAAACAAATGAAAATACTTGTTATCGTTGTGGAGGAAAAGGTCATTGGAGTCGCATTTGTCGTACTTCAAAACACCTTATTGATCTTTATCAAAAATCACTGAAAATAAAAAGGTAAGGATTGAGACTCACTTTAGTAATAAAGATGATGATCTAGATTACGGTAATATGGATGTTACCCATTTAGATATTGGTGAACTCTTTGCTGATCCAGATGGAAAAATTGATCACCTTATTAGAGATGGAAGTGTCAAGAAATAAATTATAGAAATCTCCTTTTTAGTTATTGATCTTACTTGATCAGAAAGGAATCAGCAGCCTGCCACACGTTGTGAGCTTCTGTATTCACCGGTGTTGAAGAGGGGGAGGGGGTGTACCTGCAAAGTACTTCAATGCTTAAGTGAGTAACGGAGTTAGAAAGAGCAAGTACAGAGAGAATAGGTGTGGAGAATAGAATACCTGACCCTCTAGTGAAAGAGGATATTTATAACGTGCCTCCAGCATTAGGTCAACGATTACTTTGCATTAGATTGGATTGCAAGGCCCAACACGAATAACTATCAGGGATTACGTGGCGTAGGGAAAACCAGCATGTGTTCTTCACCCTGGATCAACTACCCCGTGATCTTCGGAAGGTGGGTTGACTAGTTCTTTTGGAACTGAATAATTGTCTGATGACGTGTCCCCACATAGGGGGCACGTAGAGAACGTGGAGAAGACACGTGAGCTATCCCCGTGCTATGTAATGATATCCCCGACTACAAAATTAAGTGTGCCCGACATGAAGGAGGATTGGGCTTTGTTGGGCCTCCCCAACTTAGCATTGGGTTAGGCTTGCCCGATTGTGGGCAAGTCTTCGCCCTGTCCAAAACAAGAGAGAGAGCCCCAAGTTGTTGCTCCTAAGTGGAGGAGTAATGACTTAGGCGTCAGTCCCAACATTGAGGGTGTGGTCAGATGTCGAGCTCCTTCATGTTGTGGATGCTTTCGAGGAGTCGTGCTCCCTTTCTGTGGTCATAAGTCGTTCTTCATGTCTCCGACGAGGTACTGCGGGCCCGCATGCGTGGGAGACGTCGGAAGTAACGGCCATGCACGTTTCTAGGCAAGAGAGGAATTCGAACGGGATGTGTGGGAGACGTCGGAAGGAAGGTCACGCACGTTTTTGGGCAGGAGAGGAATTCGAACAGGTGCATGAGGTGTCTGGTGACGCCACATGTCAGGGCAATTAATGCATAGGACAACTAGGATTAGGGGTACTCAAGTTCCTAAGGACGCCTCGAGTCCCTTGCTAGGCTTATAAATAAGGGTCGACTATGTTTCATTTGCACGTTTCCCTTCCTCTGCTCAATACATTCCTTATTCTCTTTACGTGTTTCCTCTTCTTCGCTTATGTTCGTTCGTCACCGTCGTCGTCTCGTCTCTTAGGAACCACCGTACCAAGTAAGTTTTTGGTTGCTTTATTCTAGTTTCTCGCATTTTCCGATGGATTCTTATGTGGATTGGTGAAGCTCCCGGTGAAACCATGAAGTTTCCGGCGAATACGCCAGAGCTGCTTTGAATTTATGATGTTTCTAATGAAGGCCCTGGGGACCGATGATGAATGTCCCGAGAACATAAGATGAAGGTCTTGAGGACCTGGGATGAGGATCCCGGGGACATTAGATGAAGGGCTCGCGGATCTGATGAAGGTCCCGAGGACCTGGGATGAGGATCCTGAGGACTTTAGATGAAGGCCTCGGGACCCGGTGAGGATCTTGAAGACCTCTGCAGAAGGTCTCAGGGATCCTATCCCCACCTTTTATTGTCGTGGTGAGGGGATCCCCATACTGGAGGCTCCTCCAACCGGGCGGGGTCTCGTGGTCAAAGAAAAACTTCTCCTAGATGAGCACCCTAGTTAGGTGTTTCCAATCGGAGAGGCCTGTCCGACGGCTATGTGCCCTTTTTTTTGCCCTTTCACTTGATTTGTGGTGGAAGGGTGGATTTTAATCTGGAATGTCGAATTGACTGTTTTCCTCTGCTTTTCAGGTAAAATGGCTGTAAGGATTGAGGGGGTCGTTGAGACTAACAACGAGCCCGATTCTTCGGTCGTGCAGACCAGTGAGGTGCAAAAGCCGACTGCCGTAGACTAGGCCGACAGGATCCCCTGAGCATTCCCTCTCGCTTTTTCGTGGACGAATCTGATGCTTACACTACTGTCGAGAACCGTTATGAGGGTTCGTCTATGAACTGGAAGGTGTATAAACCCCGGGAACACCGTCAAATATGCTCGTCTTTCAAAGGGGTGAGGTTTCCCATGTATGAATTCCCTTTCCGAGAAACGGGCATGCGTCTGCCCTTTAGTGATTTCCAACGAGGATTGTTCGACTAGTTGAGCATGGCGCTTTTGCAGCTACACCCCAACACGATCGCGTTCGTGTGGGCATATGAGCTCGTATGCTGGCACCTCCATGTCGGGACCATGCTGGCTCTTTTCTTCCGCATCTTCCATCTTCAATGACAGATATTTGAAGGTCGACATAGCTAGGTATCCTTGAAGAAGCCGATGAGACTGTTTCGGGCGTATCTAGACTCTATTCGTACTTTCAAAGACCAGTACTTCGTCGTCACGCCCATCACTCACGTGGTCGTAGACTTGTTGTATGACCTCGTGGTCAAGAAAGAAAACAGGAAGCGGGTTGAGGTCTTGTAGTCAAAGATCCCGTTGGAATGGACAGAGGATTATTTCGAAAGGGGTACAGACAGCTACATAGTCAGGCCCTGCTCGTTGAATGCCGAGGACCAACTGGCCTACCAGAAGTTGGTAGAATTTGTCTCCAACTTCACCCTCGCGAAATGTGTGACTCCGAAATAGAATTTTATACTCGACTCCCGCGGGGAGGTTCTTCAGGAGCAGCAGTTGATAAACACGAAGGCCCTCCTCGAGTGTGCGTTCGACGAGGAGGCCTTACAATTCTTAGGTAGCAGGAACCCCCTTCACTCGAGTTTCTTCTATGTTTATGTCATTGATTTGTTGTTCGCTGACTTGTTTGCTTGTTCTTTTACATGTAAGATGTCGAGTATGCAAGAGCGCGTGAAGAAGCTAGCGGCCACCAAGGGTGGGAAAAAGGGCGACAAGAAGCTAGCTTCACGTACCTTTTATCTCGAAAACCTAATTCTTCAAAGGTTCTTTCATGTTTTGATGCGGATACTAACATCAAATAAGTTGAATTTCAACGAGTCTCAACATCTAGAGAAACTAAACCTTTATAGTCCATGCTCTCCTCATCAATACATGCCTTGAATTTAGCAAGCCTCGCCGGAGAAGATCTAGCATACCAAACAGCATGACGAACTCTATAAACAGAATTATCAATGTCTTTCAAACCTTCTTTCACAATTAGATTTAATATGTGTGCGCAACACCTCATATGAAAATGGTTTCCGCTCATAACTAAACTATTCTTAGACAAAAGCCTTCTCTTGAGACGTTCAACTCCAACATCATTAGATGAAGCATTATCAACCGTCAAACTAAGCACGCAGTTTAAGCCTCAATTGTTCAAACACATCTCCATTGTTTCACAAATAGCATCCTCTGTATGACTTGTGACTTGACAAAAATTTAAAATCTTCTTCTGTAAGTGCCAATTATTGTCAATGAAATGGGCCGTCACACACATATAGCTCAACTTTTGACAAGAAGTCCACATATCAGTGGTGAGACAAACTCTTCGACAATTCAGAGAGAGAAAATTTTTTAAAATTATCTTTTCTGTGTCCCACAGTTTCAAGACATCACGTGCCAATGTTGTGCGCGAACAAATCTGAAATCTTGGTGAATCGAGACTCATAAGTTCATGAAAAGACTCATGTTCGACCTTCCGAAAAGGAGTCTCCATGTTTATGAACATTTTAACCATTGCTCTTCAAATGGCTTCTTGGTCAAACTTGACGATTAAAGGAGACCCAACATGTTCTTCAGCACTTGTCATAGAAGACAATGTCCTTTTCCTCTTGTAAAAGAGGCATCTCGATAAATGAGCATGCATAGAACTAGTTCCATTGTTATACTTAATTTTTATGTCACAGTATTTGCACGAAGCGTTTTGTTCTTCTTCCGACGATACAATGAAATGATTCCAAACCTCTGAACGATTCTTTCGTTTCTTAATGTGAGGAGGTGGCATTTCACTAGAGATTGTAGGTGGAAGGGTTGAAACCGTATTCTCAGATGTTGCATAAGTTGTGCCAACATTAATCATCTTGATTCTGTTAAAATTAGAAAAATAAATTAGAAACGCATAGATTGTAATAACAGGAGTTACCTTAATGCACACAAAGCAAGTTAAGAGAAACTCATATCATGTTTACAATAAAAAAGACCATCACTTTTCTTATAAGAGGTCTTCTAGATCATAAAGATTATTGTGGAATCACTCCTACTAATTGTTTGTTTAATCCTTGAGCTTGTTATTTATGTATCCTAATTCATCACATGCATCCCCCATAGAAATCAAATTGTGCAGAGAAATAACACACAAACAGAAATTACACTGTTAGTTACAATGTTCATGTAAAATAGTTGGGTTACAAAACATACATGGTCAAGGCAAGGAAAGAAATGTTTTGAAACCATCCACATGGCGCTTCATGTGACCAACAAGGTTAAAAGGAACATTTCCAAAACATATCATTTTCTTTTATGGTAGATGGGTTGTTTTATAACCTTTTATCAAACCCAGAAATACAGAAACAAAAGATAGTGAAAGTGCAACCAACATAAAGCTAAAAGAAATAAGAATGGACTTAGAGAAGAGAGTGCACATGAAAGGAGGCCATGGGGAAGAAAGCTATGCAAATAACTCATTGGTACAGGTATGCACGTATAATAATTACATTAAGCATATTATTTTGCAATGAATTAATAAAACCCAGAAGTGTATAAAACTCAATTAATCTGGATTATTTGTGTCTGCTGGTCCATTTGGTGGTGAAGGAATTTATCTATTTTCAAACCGGACGAAGCATCGGAATGGGACTATTTCGACAATATCAAGAGGTTAACTTGGGATTGGTTTCAAGCATTCTACAGTGGTCCTCTTCTCTTAAATTAGGAAGTTTAGAAGCGTTCTACAGTGCCAAAGCCTCTAAGAAACTCTACAGTAAAAAAATGGTGCAGATCTCCAAACAGGACTTGCAAAGTATACACCAAGAAGCCATTTGACAACCTCTCGACATAAGGATGTCATCAGTTTCTAGTTTAAGTTACATCAATCTTCAAATGAACAAGGATTTGGAAGGTGGCACATCCCTAATTCATCACATAGTTAGTTACAGCATTCATAGCAGAAATTAGTGATATCTGCACAATGACACTGTGGAGGAATAGACTTTGTACAATAGCCTACCTGATTTTATAGATATTCTAGATGAAGCTATAGAAACCAGACATTCACTGATCTTATACTTGATTTATTGCAGAAAGGTTATGCAGCCAGCAGGTCTCACATAATCAATAATGCAATTAAAACAAATTGCCCCATGACAGAATTCATTAGTATTGCCAAAGAACTACTGCCGGTATCTGTCTCTTAATAATGGTTTGAGGTCTGAAGATTCCTCTAAGAATGATTAATGTTCATGTGTGTTGAAGGGTATATATATACTTTTTTGGCTATATCAATTTTTTTGTTGAACATTAGTTTGTTTATAATTTAATTGACAATTGTAATTTGTAAGTGACAGTGATATTCTAAGTCTAACCACTAAAGATTTGAGAAATCTTAAATATAAGCAACTGCAAAATCAAAATAAAGGGTAAAATTTAACTGCGAAATGTTCAGGCAATGAAGAGTTAACATGTATATATTTCAATAATGGTGTACAGGTTATTGAAAATGCACCGCCAATTCCAGGGATAGAACATGTTTGAAAGTGTTCCACAAGGGGATGCCATGATTCTAAAGGCTGTATGTCATAATTGGTCGGATGAAAAATGCATACAATTTTTAAGCAAATGTCACAAAGCATTGTCACCAAATGCAAAAGTGATTCTTGTGGAATTCATATTGCCAGAAGAACCAACATCCACTGAAGAATCAAAACTTGTTTCAACTCTTGACAATCTCATGTTTATCACTGTTGGTGGAAGAGAAAGAACTGAGAAACAGTATGAAAAATTGGGAAAACTCTCTGGATTTTCAAAATTCCAAGTTGCTTGCCGTGCTTTCTCATGCTTGGGAGTCATTGAATCAATTCTAAATGCTACATGTATATATTTCAATAATGGTGTACAGACACAGACATATACCAAACATATCATTCTAATTCATCCTCCTGAAATTGGGGTTTCCTATCTCAATTGCTCGATATAAAATCAGTAGTATCAAAGAACAATTCAAAACACAGTAACTTACATTGAATAATTCAAAACACAGTAACTAAATGTAATAATGTCTTTATACCTTAAACCTCTCTTATACAACGCCGGAGTTAAACACGTGTAGGCCTAATAAAGTATTGTAATGCCCCTTCTCAATTTCTTCTTCCTTTACTTGATGAAGAATAAGTGTCTCAATAATCAAGTCTTCCCAATCAATACCATCAACTACCACTCCTCTTCTCTTCTTCCTTTTCTCATTGCAAGTGCTATCTAAAATGCCAAGAGGTACAGTTTCATCAAGATCAGCATTTAATGGATGAGTTATTCTTTTTATCCGCTTCCTTGCAGCATCAATCCTCTCTCGCCTTATTTTACATTTCAATTGACCATTAACAAATGATGGTGGCATGGTTTCCGCCCCAATATCCTTCTCTAGTAACTTTCTCAGTATAAGCTTTCTGCTCAGTTCTGATTCTCCATCCCACCACTCTCTACACTCGTGAAAATCAAATTCAACCCTTCTCCGTTTCTGAACATTTGCAGTCCTTGACAACATAGCACCACGATTCTCATTTAAAAACTTCTCATAAATCAGGGATAAACATTCAGGTGAAATCTGTGACGTATCAATATCCCTGATGCCTTCTCTATCCGCATTACTTGGCAATGAAAGATACTGAGAATCTTTTCGCGAAACTAATCCATCAACCCCATATTCATATCCATTCTCTTGTGCCAAGCACTCGGCAACCACTTCTTCCAAATCAAACCTAGTCTGATCAAGATTCTTCCTCTTCTCAACAGGTTTTGACATAGACTTCTTCTCCATATACTGAATCACAAAAGGAGCATTCTTAACAATATTCTTCTTAGTTATATCATTTCCCCAAGGCAACACTTGTGCAATTTTCACAAGCGTCTCAAGAAGCTCTTTATACCTAGTTCTACAAGTGGAAACAACAACATGAACCTCCTTCGCCAAATCTTCCATACGAACTTCAACTTGGTTAATTTCAGCAACCAAAACCAAAATCGCAACAACCAAAGGAAGCGGCCGACGACCGGTACTCAGAAACAACTTCACCGCACATTGCAACAAAAACACTCCCTGTTTCTTCATTTTATCAATCAAACTCCTATCAACATCATCAAAACAACAAGAGCTATTAATAGTCCTTTCCAACGAATACACAATATCAAACTCAGGAAAATCACTTCCTCTCAAATCCAAAAAATCAATAACCCTAAGAATCATTTTCCCAAGCTCATAAACATCACAAGCAAGAGCATTAGCAATTTCCGCCATAGGTAAAGGACGATCACTCTTCCGCATTACGACATAACAACAGGCCCCAATCAAAACTTGAAACCAGTTCCCTTGACCGAATTCACCGTCGGTGATATCAGAAATCATGGATTTAATTTCAATAGTTTTGGAACATAACCCTAACCTATTAGTGAATTCTTCAATGGAACTACGAGCGGATAATAATTTTCTGTCTTTGTAAGAGTAAAAGTTACCTGAACCTGAGGTTCCGATGTGGACGAAGGTGCCTTGTGGACCGTTGATGCCGCCGGTGAAGGATTCGTATTGATCGAAGGGTTGAACGGCGCCGCAGGAGGCACAGAACAATCCCCCGGTGTCGTCGTCGCGTGAAAGAGAGGTGCTGCTGCAGCTGGTGCAGAGATGAGAGGTAGACATGGAATTGGGAATAAAAATTAAAGCTTTTGATCACTTTCAATGGCGATAACGAAATTCTGGCGTGAATGTGCCGATACTGAAAGTGGAGTTATAGTTTCTGTTTTTGGTTCAACGAAAACCCAGTGATCAATATACCCTATTTCTGTTACCCCATTTCTTAAATCCTCCATTTCCCCTGTTCAGTTAACCGATGCATGACATGTGGTATTAAAAAATTTATCGGTTGAGATTTAAAAAATATTAAATTAAAAATTTTAACATAATTTTTTCTTTCTTAATTCAAAATTTCATTTTATTCACTTCAGTTTTCTTAATTTCTTCCCTCCCCCAAACTTTTTTTCTCTACCGTTAATTTCTCTCTTCATCTCTACCGCCGTCATGTTATTGATGTTTTTTTGTCAGAGTTGCCGATACCATTGTGCTTTTCGCTGTCACCGACATCGACATGCTTTTCGCCGTCGTTGAAACCGTCAGTGTTTTGCACAACATCTTAAAATTTGAAGTGAAGATTTTTGGTCGCCAACACCGTCAATTTTAAGATTATTGGAATTCAATTTTAGAGATGATTTGAATGTAATTAGTTTTAAGGTGTAATTTTAGTATACAATTTTAGAGATAAAAAACTTATGTAATTTTAGAGTTTCACTCAATTTTAGTTGTAATCAAATTGCAAATTAATACAAAATATTATTTGCTATGTGGCATAACAACTTAATGGTTCTGATGTGATTATTTTGGATTGTTCTTTTATGTTTCAATGCAACTTTTAGTAAAAAAAAAACGCAGATTCAATTATACTGCAGGTTTATAATTTCACTGTAGGTTCAATTTTATTGCAGGTTTAATTTGATTTATGTGAACAATCAGATTTATGTGAAATAATATAAAAGAATCTGGCTTATGTGAGACAAAAATGATTGTTTTACAATCTGGTTTACAATTTGGGACTAATAATTGTTTTACAATCTGGTTTACAATTTGAGACTCGTGGAAGAAACATAAAAAATTTGAAGAGAGAAGAAGCTTGGTGGAGGACTACATTTAGGTGACACGATTCATTACTTTTGCAAGTATATGTTTAGCCTTTGAAATTTCCATAGAAGATATTGTTACAAGGTGTACATTTCTGTTGTAGCCATACCATAGTGCGCCTGTAATTTTCTATTGTAGCTATAATT